AAGCCAGAAAAAATATCTGACTTAATCAGGTTTAAAAAAATCTCAGTCTTATGGGGGTTCTCGCACGTGATGAGTCATTCTTCCCCGGCTGCTTTGAAGTTTGTCTTTCCTCGTTTTGGCTGTTTGGGTGGTGGAGGGTGTGGAGTGACTTAGATGTGTACAGTTTTTGATCAGTGTACACATCTAAAAACTCCACACGCTCCACGGAAGATAAACTCAAAGTTTGCAAGTTTTTGGGCACTTTTTTTGAGCATTTTTTCTCCTCTAGCCCTCCTGCCGTGTGTGTGCCGAGGCACTGATGAGGCTGCATTTCTGAGGCTCTGTTCATCAACTTTTTTTTCAGATCACATAATTTCTATTAATTTGCAAATCTGCTCTCTCTTCTACCCCCTCAAATCTACAATAACTGAAATAAAAAATTCACTAGAGGGACTCAACTCTAGTCAATTTTTTATTTTGGTTACTGTGCTTTTTAACATCTGTATCTCTATTTGGCTCCTTTTAAAAATAACTCGTTATTATTTGATGAGACACTGTCATCATACCATCTTGCAATTTCCTGCCCCAGCCTCCCTGGCTAATGTTTGTATGTTTAGAGATGGGTTTCATCATGTTGGCCAGGCTGGCGTCAAACTCCCGACCTCGTGATCCACCTGCCTCGGCATCCCAAAGTGGAGGGATTACAGGCGCTGAGCCACTGCATTCGTGCCATCTCTTATTTCTTTAAATATGGTTTCCTTTAGTGAACTTGAAGTCTGTCTGCTGCCATCAGCACCTGCGTGGCCTCAAAGGCAGTGTCTACGGCCCCTTTCCTCCTTGTGTATGTGACACTCTCTTGTTTCTTTGAATGTCTTAACTTTTTTTTAATTGAAAACTGGACATTTTTGATAATACATTATAACCGATTTCCCTCTTCCCCTAGGGCTTTCTCTTTTATTTTTAAAGACCTTGTCTCATTTTGTTGCCCAGGCTGGAGTGCAGTGCTATGATCACAGCCCACTGAAGCCTTGACCTCCCAGGTTCAAGCAACCCTCCTGCCTCCGCGCTGCAAGTAGCAGAACTACGGGTGCACGCCAAGATGCCTGACCAATTTTTGTATTATTTTTTTTTTTTTGTAGAGACAGGGTTTTGCCATGTTGCCGAGGCTGGTCTCAAACTCCTGGACTCAAGCGCTTTGCCCGCCTAGGACTCCCGAAGTGTTGAGATTACTGGTGTGAGCCGCTGCACCTGGCCCAGGGTTTTTGTTTGCTTGCTTATCCAGTGTCTGTGGATTTGTCTGGGATCCAAAGTACACGTGACAAAGTTGTTTCGGGGAACGTGTGCCCATAAAGACTGTGCCATGCTTGTATTCTGCTTGCCCAGCACTGACCACACCCACTGCCAACACCAAGAACAGGCTCTGTCTGCGGGTGCCAGCCCACCTGTGCCTGCCTCACCTCCACTGCCGTCAGTTTCTGGGCTGTGGCAGGAAGTCTCTGCCCAGCACACTGGCACTTCTCTGCTCACCACCACGAACAATAGCCTGAGAGCGGATGTGCCAGGCACCGCCGTCAGCACCTGTGCGCAGCCAGCCCTGCTTCCAGCACGTGGAGAAGGTCTGCTGAGCAGCCCCACCAGCTCTGCCAGCAACAAACACGTGGTGATGAGACTGGTACCCAGAGTCTTGTTTTCAAACCCAACCAGCACCAACATCTTCCAAATTCTGCTGCGCTGTGACAGCTCCCAAAGAGGCCTATTTTTACACACACCGAAAGTCAACATCAAACACAAATAGGAGGGCAAAGAGTTTTTTTTAATTGGACTTGGCTTTGACGAGTACTGACAAACCCTGCAGACATGAGTACAGTTTGATCGCAAAGTCCTTGCCAGCACCGTCCAGCAAATTCAGAGAAAACACACACAGAAATTAAAAGACAGCTCGATTCATCTTCCAGCACCTACAACTGTTTCCAGACTTTCTGTGTAGTCTTCTTTGTGCTTTCAGTTGAGTAAAAGTCAGAGAGGATAACAAACTTTTAAAGTCAGATCCGTAACTGTACAAAACTGACCAGACTATGGAGAAGGGGAATCGTCATTTTACAAAATATTATTAAGATCACCAGCATTAATTTAAATCATTTCCTTTTCTGGACTTCCAAGTCCACTTGGCAATTTTACTTAGGAAAATATCATGCTTAAATAGAAAACTGGTAGTCTAAACATTTTCTTTATGTGACATATTCTTGTGTGCATATGTAATGAGAATTTTAAAAAAATTGTTTTCTTCCTGCTGCCAAAATGTAGGCATTAAAAATAAGTGACTGTAAACCTAGGTGACTTACTCATAAAAAGGAGTAAGTGAGGAGAGTGACAGAAGGAGCAAGAGACCCCAAGAGGCACCCTGTCACTCATAGGCGTGGTGTTGACAGGAGGTGTGTTTCTAGGACGTTCACTGCTTCCTCAGAGTAGACAGATAGCATAAAAATGCTAGGAAGAAACATTCCTGCAATAGTCTGCAGAACAAATGTGCCAGTTTTGCCTTTGAATGTCTTAAGACATCTCAACAATGTTGGATTATATGGCCTGCTTGGCTATATGACCCATCTTTAAAGCTGAAACAAAAATTGTTAGAAAAATATTCTAAGAAGAATGAAACTTAAAAAAAAATGAAAAGTTAAAAATATTTGCTCACCATAATCATTTCACTGTATCAGTTTTGGTTCTGAATGCGATTGTAAGTATCTATCCATTGCAGCACATTAGAACCATGCAAGCGCCACGACAGGTGTGTTGTACAGAAGACTTCTCATTAGTGATTATTTAACAGCACAATGCTCACTCATTTTTTTCATGGCGCATTGTGACAAAACTGTATAATGGAGTAGGCGAAGAACAGACTGAATGCTTTCTTTTCACCAGGGCCTTCATGAGCCGGCCACAGCTCTTGACACCGGCAAGACAGCGTGACATTCACGGGCGAAACCCTACCCTCAGCTCCGAGGAGTGACACAGGAAAACTCGATGCAGCTGTGCAGCCCCAGGGCCCAACGCCCCGCTATCCAAAGCCACAGCCAGGACCTTGAAGCAACCTGAGGCCCTCTGCTGGGAGGCGGCAGTGGAGAAAGGGACTGGCCGGGTTTTTCACCAAAAGCCAGGGCTCCTATACGGGAGGCGGCTTTCAATTCTAGGCCTGAGCGGAGCGCGCTGGCTGGGAGTGCTGGATGCCAGCCCAAACCATACACCCACCCGTGCCCTGTTCCCAACCGGACTGTAGCTGCACCAGCCGCTGGGAAAGGCGCAGCCTCGGAGGCTCTCCTCAGGAGTCGCTCGCTCCGAACCTGCTCCTTCTCCAGCTCTCAGGCCCAGGCCCTGGCCCAGACATTTCCTCAATCAGATCCATCATCGAGCAATCACTGCTCAAAACAAGGCCTCACATCTGTTTCTCCAGCCACAGGGGGGGCGCCTTCCGCTCCCGTGTTTGTAATGAGCTTCTGTGAGAAGGACTGTCGAAAGCTCTGGAAGTGCACGCTTCCGCGTCTTAGAGGAAAGGGAGCTGAGTGGGAGCTCAGGTTCCAGATGCCCACCGCAGCCTCTGACGGTCAGGCAGTGACTCGGCTGGAACGTGGACGTAGGGAGGGAGACAGGAGCGCAAGGGCTTGGAGGAATGAGTGTGCGCCACGCAAGGACCTCAGCAGAGGGCTCAGCCTGGGGCAGGGTCCTGGGTGAGAGCTGGAGGCTGCACTGGCCTCCCGAGAAGACACTTTGGGCTTGCCGTAGAGGTAGGAAAACAGGGAGAGAAACCAGGTAGGGAGAGAAGAAAAAGCCTCCAGAACACAGAGCCTCTTCTTCCCCCACCCCTACTTGTCCACGCCCCCAGCTCAGCACATATAGAAAAACTAAGGTATTGCTGATTCTGTAACAAGAATCTTCCTGATCAGTAACCTGCCCAACACCCACAGAACATGGCAATGAAGCCCTACATGCTTTTAAAAGAAAACAGACTGTTAAGACTAAACAAACCAGAAAACCAGCTTAGCATGGCCAGTACGGTAATGAGTGCCGAATCCCGCATATCTTGAGTTCCCCAGCAAGTGCGGTTCTACCTGTCATTGTGCCAACAGCATTGATTATTTAAACTTCAGATCCATGTGCTCTCCTCAGCTTCACAGAGGGTCTCATTTCCTACACCAGTGGGAATCACCGAGGGTACCCAAAAATGTAAAATCCTGGAGAGCTCAAAAACAAACATGGTTTGCAGCAAGATTCAACCAAGACGCCCGCAGCTGCTCCGAGGACCAGGATGCAGCAGCCTGCGCACATTCAGAACCTCGCACACAACTTACAGGAGCTCAGGAAGTGATAAAAGGCCCCACATTCTTAAAGGTATAATTTATAGAGTAGTCTGTACAAAAGCAGTCTTTTTCAAGGGATTCTGCTGCTCCTCAGAAGAAATCCACGGCCCTGGGCCTTCTCCTTGGTGTGGCGGTCAGGGGCTTCTTGGCCACTAGGGGTGAGCTGGCAGGTGAGCTGGTGGGGGTCTTCAGCACCCCGTGGAGGGGCCTCTGTTCAGGGTCGAAGGCCACCCGGGAAGCACCCGTGGGACTGACCAAGATACTCTTGTCTGTCTTCTTGAATTCTGTCCCAAGTGAGAATAAGGCCCCATGTTAAGCGGGTCCAAGAGCTGTCCCTTCAACAGGCTAGACAGCGTCCCGCCTGGGTGCCAACCCTGCCCATTTGCTAGGACGAAGTGGGGCCACCTCAAGTCTCTGCAGAGAGCAGGCCTGAGAGCCTCCTGAGGCAAGGAGGGCAGTGAGGCCACGTCCCACGCCTCAACTCACCCTCCCAAGGGAGGCCCAGGGCCACCTGCCCAGACCAAGGGGAGCTGCTGGTAGGGTGACTCCTGGAAGCGTGAACTTTGGGGGTGTTTTGGACAATGAGTGGACCAGGCATTTGTGTCTGGGACAAATCTGTGCTATGTGGAGTTGCAGGATTTATCCCGTTCATTCTCTCCAGTTGTAAAGGCTGGGTGAACTCCTCCTCTCCAAGTCTCTTCTCCCTAAACACACATACTCTCACACACACATACAGGCGCACGTACACACACTCTCATACGCACACACACATACTGGCGTATGTACACACACTCTCATACACACACATACATACTGGCGCACGTATACACACTCTCATACACACACACATACATACTGGCGTATGTACACACACTCTCATACACACACATACTGGCGCACGTACACACTCATACACACACACTGGCGTATGTACACACACTCTCATACACACACATACATACTGGCGCACGTACACACACTCTCATACACACACACACACACATACTGGCGTATGTACACACACTCATACACACACATACATACTGGCGTATGTACACACACACACACACACACACTGGTGCATGTACTCACACACACACAGGCGCATGTACACACACATACTGGCTCATGTACACACATACACACGCTGGCGCATGTACACACTGACGCATGTACACACACACACATTGGCGCATGCATATACTGTTGCATGTACACACACATACATGCTAGCACATGTACACACACATACATGCTGGCACACCTACACACACACACACATACTGGCGCATGTACACACACATGCACTCACACACATACACCAACATACACCCCCATACACACTCACATACACACTCTTATATTCACCTACACTCACACATACACACTCATATACTCACACTCACACATTCATACACATAAACTCACTCTCACATACACTCATACACATATACACTCACACTCATATACTCACACACATACACATTCACACACATACACACACTCTCACATACACACACACACTCAATTACTTGTGGTTCCCAACGAGAGTCGGGTCCTAAACTCATAATACTTTTAAAAACTTTGGTTTCTTTTGTGAAAGCAACTCGAATGGATGGCAGCAATACGAGAACTAGGAAGACAGGGATTTCCCTTCTTCGTCCCCCGGGTTATGAAGTTTTGCAGAGAGGCAGCTACAGCTGGTGGACCGCTGCGATCTCAAATGGCCTTTCTGTGGGTTGGCTTGCAGTACTTAGAGACACCCGGGAAGATGGCTTTTGGATCACGTCTCACCGGGTAGCTTCTCCTAAGAGGTCCCAAGCAATTGGCTGCCCACTCACCACTGGCACCCCACTCACAGCCCTTTGAGGACGAGGGACACATAGGTGCTTCCTTCTGACTCTGAAATGGGCGCTGAGGGGCTGGGCATGGTGGCTTATGCCTGTAATCCCTGCTCTTTGGGAGGCTGAGGCAGGTGGATCACCTGAAGTCAGGCCAACATGGTGAACTCCCTTCTCTACTAAAAATACAAATGATTCCAGCTACTTGGGAGGCTGAGGCAGGAGAATCGCTTGAACCCAGGAGGCGGAGGTTGCAGTGAGCCACGATTGTGCCAACCTGGCCAGGAGTCGCAGCTGTGCTCGAGAAGCCTGGGCGCCGGCACACCCCACTTACCTGCAGTCATGTTTCTGTTCAGCCCAAAGGTGACCTTCTTGGAGCTGGACGGCGTCTTGTTTAGCTGCAGAAGAGAAACAAAAGGAGTAACACAGTGCGCGGCGGCCACGTGGCCTCCCCTCAGATTCTTCTGGAGAACCTGTCCTGGAGGGGCCGCCGCCCAAACGGCTGCTTACTGAGTGGCGCATACAGTAAGAGGCCAAAGGGACTGCGGCTGAGACCGAAACCAACTGTCCTGCTGGGGCTTCACCAGGAACGCCCTCCTTCAGTGTCCGACACACGCCTCCCCCAGCCCGGGGCAGTGGTGCTCGCACCCTTGGCCCATCTGCGGCCACCTCATTCCCACACCATAGGTTCTACCATCTGGGGAAGAAAGGCAAACAGTGAGGGCCCCTGAACCATCCTAAAAACAGTTCGCCACTGAGAACCTGTGAGGATAAATGCCAACGACTCGCCTGCCTTTTGCTGGAGAGTTCTGAAGTTGTAACCTGAAGACTGACATGGATGAGGCGCTGCCTCCCATGGAGTCTCACCTCAATGGACAGTGGACACAGCTGCCAGTTTTTTGTGCACAAGGACTCCAAGCTATCTATCTCCAAGCTATTTCCAACGGTTCACCAAAAGCAAACGTGCTCTTTCCTACTGAAATTCTTGCAAGCAGGTCCAGCCTGCATCAGGAAGCACTTCCTCAGGTTCCTGCTGACCCACATTTCTGAGTGGACCTGCTACTGCTGACTCGTGCCACTTGCGTTCTCACAGCGCGACATTTCATGAGAAAACTGGTTTCTGCAAACCCGGAGCCGGAAGCCCTGGGAGGCAGATGTGTGCCATCAACCGCCCCTCGAAGTCCCCTTCCCGACTGCGATCTCTCTGGGTGGGTCCCAGACCACCCAGGCCTCATGCGGCCCTGGCTGGGAACCTGCCCGCTGTGGCCAGGTTGAGAGGCCAGAGTGGGGCTCCAGCCCGGCATGGGAAACACCATCAGCTCAAGCCCATCTGTGCCCTTGTGGAGAAATGGGCTGTGCCGCCCCTGGGAGGATGCGCACCTGGATGGCAGGGCCTGCAGAGTGGGTGGCAGTGCTGCTCCTCGCTCTTCTGAAGAACAGGGGCTTTGGTAAGAAGGCAGTGTCAAACGTCACGAAGTCACTCTCTGCTCTAGGCTGCTGCTGCTTCAGGGAACTGAAAGCCCCACTGCTTCCCTACGTGTGGGGTGAGAAGCAGGGAGGAGGGGGTCAGATGAGAGCCTCTGGTACCGCCCATGCACACAGGAGGCGGCAGACCCCAAGGGGACCCAGCCCACTCGCTCAGCCCACTGCGCAGCCTGCAGTTTCCTGCACTGCGTGTGCAGACAGCCCTTCAATCCCAGAGCCCAGACTGCACACAACGCGACCACCTCTCTATTGCAGCACCAGGCCAAGGGTGGCGATGAAAACGCCCTCTCAGGGTAAGGACCCACTTTTATCTTCATTCTCAAATGGAGGGTTTTGGCCTTTCAAGCCCATCTGTTAAAGAATAATTCACTCTCCATTTGTAGCCGAAGCATCACTGCACTGGCAGTCTGGCGTGGAGGGCAGTGATACCCACATGGCAGCTCTGCTCACAGGCAGGTTCAGGAAGCTCACTGGGTGTGCAGCGACTGACGGCCACCCAGAGACCGGATCTCGTCCTGGGCTCTCAGAGGTCTGGGAAGCCCAGTGCAGCTGAAGACACATGGGCAGCTCTGGCAGGTTCAAGGGTGCTGCCTCGAGGGCAGGCGGCCTGAGGAGCTCCTCCTGTGCGCCTTCCCTCTGCTGGGGAGAGCTTCCCTCCACCCTGAGACTCACTCAGCAACACCCCATCTTCTCTACCACCACCCAGGGCAATGTGTCTGGCCCTCTTGCTGAGGAAGCAGCACTGTTGGTACAGTGAGGGGCAGGCTGCAGTCAGGGCGGTGATGGCAGCCTCCTGCTATCCAGTTTAGTGCCCTGCTTTCCTGACCACAAACTCGATAGCCAGTTGCAGACACTCTTAGCCCCAAGCCAGCACTTTGCCGGGTCCGCACGTCCGCTTCAACAAAGGAGATGTCATAACCTCTGCAAAGTGGTGTGTGCAAAGCAAGAGCTGATCAAGGGTGCGCCAACTCTGTGATGCGCAGATTATTTTCCACCCTGCAGACCATAGGTCTCTGTCTCTACCACTTGACTCTGCCACTGCAGAGTGAAGGCGGCCATGGACCTGCACACATGAGTGGGTGTGGCTCTATTCCAGTGAAACGACGATTGCTGGCCCCAGCCTGGAAGCCCAGCGCACCCAGAGGTGGTGTGAAGAGCGGGCTGGGGCCAGACACAGGGGCTCATGCCTATAATCCCAGCACTTTGGGAGGCTGAGGCAGGCGAAGCACTTGAGCCCAGCCTGGGCAACAAGGCAAAATGGTATCTCTAGAAAAATTACAAAAAAACTGGCTGGGCATGGTGACCCATGTCTGTAATTCCAGCTACCTGGGAGACTGAGGCAGAATTCCTTGAGCCTGGGAGTTGGGAGGTTGCAGTGAGCCGAGATTGCGCCACTGCACTCCAGCCTGGGTGACAGAGCAAGACCCAAAACCTGATCAACAGCTTGGTTCCTCATTTATTTCTGGCTCTAAAGATCCCAGCAGAAGGAAAGTCTTCCCATGAAGAAGATAAGCAGCCCTGCTGCTGAAGTTTCTCGGAAGGGGGTAGCTAACAAAAGAAAAGCGTATAGAAAAGATAGTAAGTGAGGCAAGAGAATTCTGGCCTTCCTCTTTTGCCAAAGGGGCCGGGACTAGCCAATGTGCTGCTGAAGCAAGCCAGACCCGCATCTGATGGAGGCCCAGACCAGGCTGAACACACCTGGGGCAGCAATACCTGGCCCACGGGATAACCTGCCCAGCTTGGGGCAGGCCCTTCCAAACCCAAGCATGTGGCCTGGGGGAGGGAAGGTGGCCGATGAGGACCTGAGTAACTGGTCACCTGTGATTTCCTCCTGAGTGAGGGGGGTTATGAACACGCCCTATTCTACCTGCTGCTCGGTCCAGAGGCCTGGCCACCGGCTCCCACTCTTTCCCTCAGGAGACAGGGAGGCCCCCGGACGCGTTTGAGCGCCTCTGCGGTGAGCTGGCCTGTGGGCCTCCCACCTTACCAGAGCCTGGGGTTGCCCGGCCTCGGACTCTGACACCCCGTTGTGCTCTACCAAGTTTGACATCTCTCTCATTTTCTTCCTCTTTTTCAGGCTTGTGGTTTTCTGGCTGGACAGGTCACAGAGCTCCAGGCTGCCAGGCTCCGCCTTCTTCTTCTGCAGCCTCCTGCATGGGGGCGGCGTGGTGTGGCTGTTTGTCCCCTCCGCTGGGCTGGCGGGAGCGCCTTCCTGCTGCAGTGGAGGCCAGGCCAGCGCAGACAGGCCATTGCCATTGACGGGGACAACTCTGAGCTTCCGCTTCCTTTTTAGGAGTTGGGCTCCACCTGTTGGGGACCCTGTAGGTCCCTGAGGATGGCCGCCACTCGGGCCACCCTGAGACACATCCTCTGGTGGCAACACTGCTGATTCTGACATTTCCCTGTGGGCCCTCAGGCTCTTCTTCCGCAGCCGTTTCCTTTTATTGTGCATGGGGACAGCGGGAGGACGCTCAGAGCCACTCTCCTCCCCGGTGCTGGACGTGGCCTCTGCCCCCGGCTCGGCCACACGCGGATTCAGGGCTCCCTGCCCAGTGGCCTCAGGATCCCTGCCCCTGTTCTCTTCTAGGGACGGGGCTGCATCCCCTGGGCCTGGATTTTCAGGCTGGAGGTGGTGCTTTTTCTTCTTCTTCCTTCTTCTCTTTTGAAGACTGCTTTCACTGTCCTCTTCCTCTGCACAAAACACTCTGCTTCCTAAAAAGACACAAACCCATCAACAAGCACCCTAATGCCGGCTGAGACAGAATGATTGGTGGACAGAATTTCCTGACATTCTACCACCAGGAAAGATTCCGTCTCCCTTGAGGTACACAGTGGGCCCACACTACCTTTGCTGTCGGCCCCACTTCCTCCATCCCCAGCGGTGACTGGAAGCCTTCCTTCCTTCTGTCCATTTAAACACACATGATCTGATTTCTATTAATCTTAGGTCCCAAAGATAAAAACCATGGATCTAGAGTGGTCGTCAAACAGCCACCCCCGCAGCTCTCCCTGCAGAGGTGCCCCGGGGAGCTGGCGGATATGAGCAGAGCAAGGTGGGGGAAAGGTGGGGATGGTGGCTCTGCCGGAAACAGCAGAACACTCGGAAAACCCTCTTTACCTCTCAGCCATTAAAAACTGAAGCTTTGGGCTCTGCTAATGCTTTATGAAGGCATGAGCTCAAGTCTCGAGGCCTCTGTAATGCACACTACTCTCCAGGGGCTGAGTCACGTCCTCTTTTCAGCTTTACAGCTTACCTTTCTCCTTTTCCAAGTTAGTTTTCTCTAAAAGTTTATTTCCTTTCTTCTTATGCTTTCCTTGACTGAGGATTTGGTCATCTTCATCAGCAGAAATGTCCTCAGTGAAACTGAGTTGAGATATACTGTCTCCTAGATGCCAGAGTGACACACTGTCAGCTTCTCCAGACGCTTGAGACTGCCCGAGTGGCCTAAGAGCGGCACCCCTCCCGATTTCTGCCTCATCATCGCTGTTCCCGTTTCTCCCACCCAAACCTGAACGCAGCCGACACAGGAATTACAGACTTAAAAAAACTTTGTGGATTTCTCAGCCAAGGAAAGCAAGGGATCACAAGTCCCAGGTGACACCCTCCATGGCTGGACCCTGGGGGCTTGGCTAATGCAGTCTTCGAATTCCAACAAACTTGCTGGTGCTTTTCCCAATTTCTTTTCTTTTCTTTTTTTTTTGGAGACGAAGTCTTGCTCTGTCACCCAGGCTGGAGTGCAGTAGCGAGATTTTGGCTCACTGCAACCTCTGTCTCCTGGGTTCAAGCAATTCTGCTGCTTTAGCCTCCCGAGTAGCTGGGACTANACACACACATACTGGCGTATGTACACACACTCATACACACACATACGTACTGGCGTATGTACACACACACACACACACACACACTGGTGCATGTATACACATACATACTGGCGCATGTACACACACATATACTGGCACATGTACACACACACGCTGGCGCATGTACACACTGACGCATGTACACACACACACATTGGCGCATGCATATACTGTTGCATGTACACACACATACATGCTAGCACATGTACACACACATACATGCTGGCACACCTACACACACACACACATACTGGCGCATGTACACACACATGCACTCACACACATACACCAACATACACCCCCATACACACTCACATACACACTCTTATATTCACCTACACTCACACATACACACTCATATACTCACACTCACACATTCATACACATAAACTCACTCTCACATACACTCATACACATATACACTCACACTCATATACTCACACACATACACATTCACACACATACACACACTCTCACATACACACACACACTCAATTACTTGTGGTTCCCAACGAGAGTCGGGTCCTAAACTCATAATACTTTTAAAAACTTTGGTTTCTTTTGTGAAAGCAACTCGAATGGATGGCAGCAATACGAGAACTAGGAAGACAGGGATTTCCCTTCTTCGTCCCCCGGGTTATGAAGTTTTGCAGAGAGGCAGCTACAGCTGGTGGACCGCTGCGATCTCAAATGGCCTTTCTGTGGGTTGGCTTGCAGTACTTAGAGACACCCGGGAAGATGGCTTTTGGATCACGTCTCACCGGGTAGCTTCTCCTAAGAGGTCCCAAGCAATTGGCTGCCCACTCACCACTGGCACCCCACTCACAGCCCTTTGAGGACGAGGGACACATAGGTGCTTCCTTCTGACTCTGAAATGGGCGCTGAGGGGCTGGGCATGGTGGCTTATGCCTGTAATCCCTGCTCTTTGGGAGGCTGAGGCAGGTGGATCACCTGAAGTCAGGCCAACATGGTGAACTCCCTTCTCTACTAAAAATACAAATGATTCCAGCTACTTGGGAGGCTGAGGCAGGAGAATCGCTTGAACCCAGGAGGCGGAGGTTGCAGTGAGCCACGATTGTGCCAACCTGGCCAGGAGTCGCAGCTGTGCTCGAGAAGCCTGGGCGCCGGCACACCCCACTTACCTGCAGTCATGTTTCTGTTCAGCCCAAAGGTGACCTTCTTGGAGCTGGACGGCGTCTTGTTTAGCTGCAGAAGAGAAACAAAAGGAGTAACACAGTGCGCGGCGGCCACGTGGCCTCCCCTCAGATTCTTCTGGAGAACCTGTCCTGGAGGGGCCGCCGCCCAAACGGCTGCTTACTGAGTGGCGCATACAGTAAGAGGCCAAAGGGACTGCGGCTGAGACCGAAACCAACTGTCCTGCTGGGGCTTCACCAGGAACGCCCTCCTTCAGTGTCCGACACACGCCTCCCCCAGCCCGGGGCAGTGGTGCTCGCACCCTTGGCCCATCTGCGGCCACCTCATTCCCACACCATAGGTTCTACCATCTGGGGAAGAAAGGCAAACAGTGAGGGCCCCTGAACCATCCTAAAAACAGTTCGCCACTGAGAACCTGTGAGGATAAATGCCAACGACTCGCCTGCCTTTTGCTGGAGAGTTCTGAAGTTGTAACCTGAAGACTGACATGGATGAGGCGCTGCCTCCCATGGAGTCTCACCTCAATGGACAGTGGACACAGCTGCCAGTTTTTTGTGCACAAGGACTCCAAGCTATCTATCTCCAAGCTATTTCCAACGGTTCACCAAAAGCAAACGTGCTCTTTCCTACTGAAATTCTTGCAAGCAGGTCCAGCCTGCATCAGGAAGCACTTCCTCAGGTTCCTGCTGACCCACATTTCTGAGTGGACCTGCTACTGCTGACTCGTGCCACTTGCGTTCTCACAGCGCGACATTTCATGAGAAAACTGGTTTCTGCAAACCCGGAGCCGGAAGCCCTGGGAGGCAGATGTGTGCCATCAACCGCCCCTCGAAGTCCCCTTCCCGACTGCGATCTCTCTGGGTGGGTCCCAGACCACCCAGGCCTCATGCGGCCCTGGCTGGGAACCTGCCCGCTGTGGCCAGGTTGAGAGGCCAGAGTGGGGCTCCAGCCCGGCATGGGAAACACCATCAGCTCAAGCCCATCTGTGCCCTTGTGGAGAAATGGGCTGTGCCGCCCCTGGGAGGATGCGCACCTGGATGGCAGGGCCTGCAGAGTGGGTGGCAGTGCTGCTCCTCGCTCTTCTGAAGAACAGGGGCTTTGGTAAGAAGGCAGTGTCAAACGTCACGAAGTCACTCTCTGCTCTAGGCTGCTGCTGCTTCAGGGAACTGAAAGCCCCACTGCTTCCCTACGTGTGGGGTGAGAAGCAGGGAGGAGGGGGTCAGATGAGAGCCTCTGGTACCGCCCATGCACACAGGAGGCGGCAGACCCCAAGGGGACCCAGCCCACTCGCTCAGCCCACTGCGCAGCCTGCAGTTTCCTGCACTGCGTGTGCAGACAGCCCTTCAATCCCAGAGCCCAGACTGCACACAACGCGACCACCTCTCTATTGCAGCACCAGGCCAAGGGTGGCGATGAAAACGCCCTCTCAGGGTAAGGACCCACTTTTATCTTCATTCTCAAATGGAGGGTTTTGGCCTTTCAAGCCCATCTGTTAAAGAATAATTCACTCTCCATTTGTAGCCGAAGCATCACTGCACTGGCAGTCTGGCGTGGAGGGCAGTGATACCCACATGGCAGCTCTGCTCACAGGCAGGTTCAGGAAGCTCACTGGGTGTGCAGCGACTGACGGCCACCCAGAGACCGGATCTCGTCCTGGGCTCTCAGAGGTCTGGGAAGCCCAGTGCAGCTGAAGACACATGGGCAGCTCTGGCAGGTTCAAGGGTGCTGCCTCGAGGGCAGGCGGCCTGAGGAGCTCCTCCTGTGCGCCTTCCCTCTGCTGGGGAGAGCTTCCCTCCACCCTGAGACTCACTCAGCAACACCCCATCTTCTCTACCACCACCCAGGGCAATGTGTCTGGCCCTCTTGCTGAGGAAGCAGCACTGTTGGTACAGTGAGGGGCAGGCTGCAGTCAGGGCGGTGATGGCAGCCTCCTGCTATCCAGTTTAGTGCCCTGCTTTCCTGACCACAAACTCGATAGCCAGTTGCAGACACTCTTAGCCCCAAGCCAGCACTTTGCCGGGTCCGCACGTCCGCTTCAACAAAGGAGATGTCATAACCTCTGCAAAGTGGTGTGTGCAAAGCAAGAGCTGATCAAGGGTGCGCCAACTCTGTGATGCGCAGATTATTTTCCACCCTGCAGACCATAGGTCTCTGTCTCTACCACTTGACTCTGCCACTGCAGAGTGAAGGCGGCCATGGACCTGCACACATGAGTGGGTGTGGCTCTATTCCAGTGAAACGACGATTGCTGGCCCCAGCCTGGAAGCCCAGCGCACCCAGAGGTGGTGTGAAGAGCGGGCTGGGGCCAGACACAGGGGCTCATGCCTATAATCCCAGCACTTTGGGAGGCTGAGGCAGGCGAAGCACTTGAGCCCAGCCTGGGCAACAAGGCAAAATGGTATCTCTAGAAAAATTACAAAAAAACTGGCTGGGCATGGTGACCCATGTCTGTAATTCCAGCTACCTGGGAGACTGAGGCAGAATTCCTTGAGCCTGGGAGTTGGGAGGTTGCAGTGAGCCGAGATTGCGCCACTGCACTCCAGCCTGGGTGACAGAGCAAGACCCAAAACCTGATCAACAGCTTGGTTCCTCATTTATTTCTGGCTCTAAAGATCCCAGCAGAAGGAAAGTCTTCCCATGAAGAAGATAAGCAGCCCTGCTGCTGAAGTTTCTCGGAAGGGGGTAGCTAACAAAAGAAAAGCGTATAGAAAAGATAGTAAGTGAGGCAAGAGAATTCTGGCCTTCCTCTTTTGCCAAAGGGGCCGGGACTAGCCAATGTGCTGCTGAAGCAAGCCAGACCCGCATCTGATGGAGGCCCAGACCAGGCTGAACACACCTGGGGCAGCAATACCTGGCCCACGGGATAACCTGCCCAGCTTGGGGCAGGCCCTTCCAAACCCAAGCATGTGGCCTGGGGGAGGGAAGGTGGCCGATGAGGACCTGAGTAACTGGTCACCTGTGATTTCCTCCTGAGTGAGGGGGGTTATGAACACGCCCTATTCTACCTGCTGCTCGGTCCAGAGGCCTGGCCACCGGCTCCCACTCTTTCCCTCAGGAGACAGGGAGGCCCCCGGACGCGTTTGAGCGCCTCTGCGGTGAGCTGGCCTGTGGGCCTCCCACCTTACCAGAGCCTGGGGTTGCCCGGCCTCGGACTCTGACACCCCGTTGTGCTCTACCAAGTTTGACATCTCTCTCATTTTCTTCCTCTTTTTCAGGCTTGTGGTTTTCTGGCTGGACAGGTCACAGAGCTCCAGGCTGCCAGGCTCCGCCTTCTTCTTCTGCAGCCTCCTGCATGGGGGCGGCGTGGTGTGGCTGTTTGTCCCCTCCGCTGGGCTGGCGGGAGCGCCTTCCTGCTGCAGTGGAGGCCAGGCCAGCGCAGACAGGCCATTGCCATTGACGGGGACAACTCTGAGCTTCCGCTTCCTTTTTAGGAGTTGGGCTCCACCTGTTGGGGACCCTGTAGGTCCCTGAGGATGGCCGCCACTCGGGCCACCCTGAGACACATCCTCTGGTGGCAACACTGCTGATTCTGACATTTCCCTGTGGGCCCTCAGGCTCTTCTTCCGCAGCCGTTTCCTTTTATTGTGCATGGGGACAGCGGGAGGACGCTCAGAGCCACTCTCCTCCCCGGTGCTGGACGTGGCCTCTGCCCCCGGCTCGGCCACACGCGGATTCAGGGCTCCCTGCCCAGTGGCCTCAGGATCCCTGCCCCTGTTCTCTTCTAGGGACGGGGCTGCATCCCCTGGGCCTGGATTTTCAGGCTGGAGGTGGTGCTTTTTCTTCTTCTTCCTTCTTCTCTTTTGAAGACTGCTTTCACTGTCCTCTTCCTCTGCACAAAACACTCTGCTTCCTAAAAAGACACAAACCCATCAACAAGCACCCTAATGCCGGCTGAGACAGAATGATTGGTGGACAGAATTTCCTGACATTCTACCACCAGGAAAGATTCCGTCTCCCTTGAGGTACACAGTGGGCCCACACTACCTTTGCTGTCGGCCCCACTTCCTCCATCCCCAGCGGTGACTGGAAGCCTTCCTTCCTTCTGTCCATTTAAACACACATGATCTGATTTCTATTAATCTTAGGTCCCAAAGATAAAAACCATGGATCTAGAGTGGTCGTCAAACAGCCACCCCCGCAGCTCTCCCTGCAGAGGTGCCCCGGGGAGCTGGCGGATATGAGCAGAGCAAGGTGGGGGAAAGGTGGGGATGGTGGCTCTGCCGGAAACAGCAGAACACTCGGAAAACCCTCTTTACCTCTCAGCCATTAAAAACTGAAGCTTTGGGCTCTGCTAATGCTTTATGAAGGCATGAGCTCAAGTCTCGAGGCCTCTGTAATGCACACTACTCTCCAGGGGCTGAGTCACGTCCTCTTTTCAGCTTTACAGCTTACCTTTCTCCTTTTCCAAGTTAGTTTTCTCTAAAAGTTTATTTCCTTTCTTCTTATGCTTTCCTTGACTGAGGATTTGGTCATCTTCATCAGCAGAAATGTCCTCAGTGAAACTGAGTTGAGATATACTGTCTCCTAGATGCCAGAGTGACACACTGTCAGCTTCTCCAGACGCTTGAGACTGCCCGAGTGGCCTAAGAGCGGCACCCCTCCCGATTTCTGCCTCATCATCGCTGTTCCCGTTTCTCCCACCCAAACCTGAACGCAGCCGACACAGGAATTACAGACTTAAAAAAACTTTGTGGATTTCTCAGCCAAGGAAAGCAAGGGATCACAAGTCCCAGGTGACACCCTCCATGGCTGGACCCTGGGGGCTTGGCTAATGCAGTCTTCGAATTCCAACAAACTTGCTGGTGCTTTTCCCAATTTCTTTTCTTTTCTTTTTTTTTTGGAGACGAAGTCTTGCTCTGTCACCCAGGCTGGAGTGCAGTAGCGAGATTTTGGCTCACTGCAACCTCTGTCTCCTGGGTTCAAGCAATTCTGCTGCTTTAGCCTCCCGAGTAGCTGGGACTACAGGTGTCACCACCATGCCCAGCTAATTTATATTTTTAGTAGAGACAGGGTTTCACTATATTGGTCAGGCTGGTCTTGAACTCCTGACCTCATGATCCGCCCGCCTCAGCCTCCCAAAATGCTGGGATAACAGGCGTGAGCCACCGCGCCCGGCTGGCTTTTCCCAATTTCAAGTGTCCCTAGTGCATGAGGAGTATGCGGTGACCTCGCTGACTTGTCCAAACATAACCAACCTTACAGCAGCCCTTCCCGGGAGCAATGCTGATCATAACAGCAAATGAAAGGGATTCTGAGAAATTACATTTTTCACCTTCACAGAGTATCCATTTAAAACCTTGCTTGGCCAATGAAAATCTATCTAGTTAAACAAAAACCAAACCAAAACTTCACACCACTCACACCTGAGAGGAGTCTGCACTCCAGCTCTGGCGTTAGGGGAGAGCCCGGGATAGGAAAGTGGGCAGGCTGCAGAGGGCCCTAGGCTTGTGTCACTCCTCACAGCTGTACTGCGGTGTGACTAGGTAAGGGCTGCTCTTTCTTTCTTAAAAGTTCGGGTCTTGCTCTGTCACACCCAGGCTGGAGTGCAGTGGTGTGATCACAACTTACTGCATCCTGGACCTCCTGGGCTCAAGCGATCCTCCCCTCTTAGCCTCCTGAGTGACTGGGACTACAGGTTCACTCCACTGTGCCTGGCTAATTTTTTCATTTTTAGTAGAGATGAGGCCTCGCTATTTTGCCTGGGCTGAGGACTATTATTTCTTATTAGAGGTTTTCAGTAAAGTTCTTTCAATCTTGTTTCTCAGCGTTGGGCATCAACACCCCCAGCTCATGAAAAACACCATGAATGATGATCCTTGGCATGCCTCACCTTCAGAGAGGTCTTGGAATCTAAAAAATAAAATAATAGTGAAAAAAAAAAGTCACAAATGTTCATAAAGAAATCCCTTCTTTCTGTATTCTGTAGACTTATATATTCAATTTTTAAAATATAAGCAATAGTTAAGTATTTGTTAATTCACGTTCTCCTCCAGGAGGGGAGGCTAGAGAGGAAATTCTGTGAAGGAAAGATGGAACAATACAAAGGCAAAAAAGATCAAGGCCAGTGCCACCCCCGGTTACCAGCACAGCAGCAAGGACACGGCAGGCAAAGGTACATCTTGGCACACCCAAATCAAACTACGACATTCAAGTCTGCTTACATTCAATTCTCCAGTGGGGAAAGGCAAAGCTGTGTTTTTTTTTTTTGTGCATTAGAACAAACAAGGAGCATCGAGGCACAGTGTGGGGAGGTGCATGGGGGAGGGGACGCTGGATGGCAGGGACCTCGGGCAAGCTAGGACCATCCTGTGCCCTGGGAACCCAGCTGGGAAATGGGCAAAACTACAGAGCTGCTTTCTAGGGGCTTAACACGCAAGACTTGAAAGTATGCAAACCGCTCAGAGCAGTGCCCGGCTCCCAGAGCGGATCAGACAGTTGTTATTTGTCCCCAGTGACAGCAAGCAGTGCATGAGGCCCTACAGTGAATTCCAGGTCATCATGTCACTGCAGTCAGAGTGACATCAACACTGACAGCTGAATTAACTAACACTTTTGGCATAAGCACATGAGAGGGAGGGTAGAGGTAAGTAATTAACCCCGTCTATTCAGCAGCACACCAGCAGAAGGCACCGAAATAGCAGGTGCACATCGGTTTCTGGTTGGTTAATTTTAGACATAAATAAGCTTCTCCTCACATCATTTTAAAACAGCTCACAGGTGAGTATGGCTGCACTGGAAGAACAGAACCTGAGGGGTGGGACTGCAGTTTCCATTAAACTTTTCAGTTTACATGTGTCTATCACATTGCTACAAACAAAAACATTAAAGGACAAAGAAGAAAGAGAAGAGAAGAGCAAGCAGGTGGCTTTCCCACACCAGGAGAGCGCAACTAGAGCGGCTGGGCTCGACCCACAGTGATGATTTGAGAGACCCTCTCCCTAGTCACTGACTTTTTGATGAGTTTGGAGAGACGCTTCCTGTTGAAGGGTGGGATGTTCTTCCTGTTGGTCATTTCCAGGAGTCGATCAGCAACAGCCTTATAGTCAAACTAGGCGGGAAGAGAAACTAAGCGTAAGTCTGCAGCCACACAACACTGCCTGACTTGGACATTTCCATCTGCAGTAAGAGAAAACCCTTACTGAAGCATTTGGCCACAGACAGGCTAAACAAGCACGTGCTGGGACCTGGCACCCAGGTGCACAAGCACTATCTTAACAAACTCATGTTCTGTCTATTCTTGGGGTAAGCTGGGTAAGCAATTCTTTCTTTAAAAAAAAATTGTGATAGAGTACATACAACAAAATTTACCTGGGTGTGATTCATTTTCTCATTTGAGATGAAGTCTCACTCTGTTGCCCAGCCTGGAGTACATTAGCATATCTCAGCTCACTGCAACCTCCACCTCCCTGGTTCAAGCCATTCTCCTGCCTCAGCCTCCCGAGTAGCTAGGATTACAGGCACACAAGACTGCGTCTGGCTAATTTTTGTATTTTTAGGAGAGATGGGGTTTCGCCATGATGGCTAGGCTGGTCTCGAACTCCTGATCACGGGTGATCCGCCGGCCTTTGCCTCCCAAAGTGTTGGGATTACAGGCGTGAGCCACTGTGCCTGGCTGGAGGGTGTGCTTCTTTCTAAATTTAATCTAGATTTGCAATCTGTACTTGGTAAACCTTTATTTGAAAAGTGCCACTAGAGCTAGTTCTGTGGTAGAGGATAGCGCAGGGCTTGGCCATTCAAAATCAGGGCTACTATCTCTTTCTAAACTCCACCATATTGACATTTCCTTGTCTCCAACAAGCTTATTCTTAGGAAGGTGACATTTAGTGACTGAAGGGATTAAAAAGGAGTTTACACTTCAGGCCTTACAGCTTAACTAGCTGTGACCCTAATTCTCTAGTCAGGCTACTCCACAGCAAATCTATATTCCATGAAAAACAAAAACGGCCACCCACCTGGAGAAGCGGCCCTGAGTCCTCAAAGGTTCCACAGCCATCTCTTCCGCTTTCATCACTGAGTCCATCTTTTCTGGAATGACTTTTGCCCAGTGCTGTCAAAATACACCCAAAGACCACTTGACATACCAAATACACAGAGGTGACTATTTCGACAGGAGCCACTGTCTAATTAGGTGTCTCTTGGCAAAAAAGAAGGCTGGGCGTGGTGGCTCACATCTGTAATTCCAGCACTTTGAGAGGCCAAGGTGGGTGGATCACCTGAGGTCGGGAGTTTAAGACCAGCTTGACCAACATGGAGAAACCCTGTCTCTATTAAAAATACAAAATCAGCCAGGCATGGTGGTGCATTCACATAATCCCAGCTACTCGGGATGCCGAGGCAAGAGAATTGCTTGAACCCAGGAGGCGGAGGTTGTGGTGAGCCAAGATCGCACCATTGTACTCCAGCCTGGGTGACAAGAATGAAACTCCATCTCAAAAAGAAAAAGAAAAATTACTTCCTGTTGACCAGGTCTGATTAAAAAAAAAAAAAAAAAAGGGGGGGGGGAAGATGATTGATTCTATCTGTGTCTGTTTATTTATTTATTTTTTGAGACAGGGTTTTGCTTGGTTGCCCAGGCTGCAGGACAGTGGTGTGATCGCGGCTCACTGCAGCGTCCGCCTCTCGGGTTCAAGTAAATCTCCCACCTCAGCCTTCCGAGTAGTTAGGACAATAGGCGTGCGCCTCCACATCTGGCTAAGTTTTGTATTTTTTGATAGAGACTTGGTTTCACCATGTTGGCCAGGCTGGTCTTGAACTCCTAACCTCAAGTTATCTGGCCGCCTGGGTCTCCCAAAGTGCTGGGATTATAGGTATGAGCCATTGTGCCCGGCTTGATTTTTTCTGATTAAACATAATATATAATCACTGTAGAAAATAGAGAAGTACAAAGAAAACAGAAATCACCCATAATTCTGCCACCTACAGCTAACTATTAACATTTTGGGCTAGACATGGTGTTTATGCCTCTAATCCCAGCACTTTGGGAGGCCAAGGTGGGTGGAACGCTTAAGCCTAGGAGTTTAAGACCAGCCTGGGGAATAAAGTGAGACCACCGTCTCTACAAAAAGAGGTGTGTGCTTGTGGTTCCAGCTACTCGGGAGGCCGAGGTGGGAGGATCACTTGAGCCCAGGAGGTTAAGGCTGCAGTAAACCATAATCAATCTGGTTCACTCCAGCCTGGGTGACAGAGTAAGACCCTGTCTCTAAAAATAAATAAATTAAAAAAAAATTTTGGTTTATTCTTTCAGATTTTTAAAAAGCATAAATAGTGTCCTAGCCAGAGCAATCAAACAAAAAAACAAAAACAAAAACAAAAACAAAACAAGGGCATCCAAATTGGCTAAGAGGAAGTCAAACAGTCAAGTGTTTGCCGATGATATGACTGTATACCTAGAAAACCATAAAGACTCATCCAAAAAGCTCCTAGAACTGGGCAATGAATTTGGCCAAGTTTCAGGTTGCAAAATCAATGTACACAAATCAGTAGCCCTGCTAAACACCAACGACCAGTGACCAAACTGAGAATATCGAGAACTCAACCCCTTCTGTAACGGCTGCCAAAAACCCACCAAAACAACGATGACAACAAAAAATAAAACAAAACAACCCCAAAAACCTTAGGAATATACCAAACCAAGGATCTGAAAGATGTCTACAGGGAAAACTACAAAACACTGCTGAAAGAAGTCCCTGATGACAGAAACAAATGGAAACACAGAAGCACGTCCCATGCTCATAGATGGGTAGAATCAATATTGTGAAAACAACCATGCTGGCAAAAGCAATCTACAGATTCAATGCAATTCCCATAAAAATGCCATCATCATTCTTCACAGAACTAGAAAAAACAGTCCTAAAATTCATATGGAACCAAAAAACAGCCTGCATAGCCAAAGCAAGACTAAGTAAAAAGAACAAATCTGGAGGCCAGGCGTGGTGGCTCATGCCTGTAATCCCAGCACTTTGGGAGGCCGAGGCTGGCAGATCCCTTGAGGTCAGGAGTTCGACATCAGCCTAGGTGAAACCCAGTCTCTACTAAAAATAAGATAAATAGCTGGGTGTGGTGGCACACGCCTATAATTCCAGCTACTAGGGAGGTTGAGGCATGAGAATCACTTGAACCTGGGAGGCAGAGACTGCACTGAGCTGAGATTGCACCATTGTACTCCAGCCTGGGTGATAGAGCAAGA